ACTATGTGCGTTCTACATGGTCTCCCTGAAAACAAGACCAAGTTGCGACAACGAGGTCAACCCACTTCTAATATGATTTACTTTTTCATAAACGATTTTATGAAAAACAGTCTTTTTATTCACTTAAGAAAGAACTATCTTATTTTGGTTGTATATTTTAATTTTTAGCATAAGCAATTTATTTAATAGTGTTTTCCGCTTTCCCCGAGCTAGTATTTGTTTCGCTTTTGTAGTTGTTTTCTTCTACACTGCATTACCCTTCATATTTTATTTATCCTATTTAGCTATCACCTCTACTCGGTGTATACCAGCGTCTCATAGCCTCGCGAACATTCGATACTCATGCTTTCTCCCTCCTGGCTTCTCTGCTACTAGCTGTACCCAAAGCTGGCCTTTTGCCTTATCTGAAGCAGATCTTCGTTTTTATCTTCCAGCGACTGACCCAAGCAAAAACAGAGAAGTTTATGAGAGGTTTTTCATATTTTTTCATGAATACCCTTGCTAGTTGTCGCACGCCTTCTCATTTCGCAAATCGCCTATCATTTAAATTTTCTGCATATATTAATTCTAATCATTATACTATTTAATAATAAACTATGTATGTGGAAAGATTAATTATCTATAGGTTTATTCATGCTTAACTAAAATATTTGGGCTTGTGAAAGAGGGCTCTGTCCAAGAGAGTTCTTTCGTGTAGCATCATTTTCACCATTATTACTCCTTTTGTCTTATTCCAATGTCATTCAATCAGGTTCGTTATAAAAATATGGAAATAAAAAAATAATCGTGCTAAATTTTGCATGGCGTCATGCAATATTTAAATCTTAAGCTTGTTTTCTTAACGTCGAAATGATTACTCGTCTATATTCAGGATGAATTTTTCTCCATGTTCTTAATATTTTTCTTATTTTTTGTAGGATTTGTTGGCTTGATAGCTAACTTCATACTCATCTATTCACCTGGAGAATTGATCAGCCTAATTGACGACCAAATTCAGCCAGCCTTATTTTCCAAGGTGCTTGAAAAAGTGCTTATTCCCTTTGCCAGCCAGGTGTGTGCCATTCCACCAAGCCTTCCTGTCTCTAGCAATGGCAATCGTAAGTCCTATTTCAATTTTCTTAAAATATGTCTGCTACTAAAGAGTCTTATTCAAGATTTCGTTAATAGAATAGTACTTATTTTTACCTTTCCTACACATTATTCCTAATCTTTTCGGCATAGTAATAATTTCCCAATAAACTGCGTTCACATTAATTTTTTTCGAAAGATGAATCTTTTTCCAGTTATTTATTGATATACTGGCACTTTACTTGTTTAATATAGTTCCTCAGTCGCCGACCAACTTGCGGTTAGCACGTTCCAACTGGCGTCTCGTCACTACTGCATTGACTCGCCTCCTTACTGATCTGCCAGCCGACTCGCAACTCTCTCCTGCAGGCGGAACTAGTGCTGCATATGTCTCCTCATGGGCTCCCTTGTTAGCTAGTCTATTAGTTGGCCTTGCTAGAGGTCCTGGTGACTGGGGCCTCTTGGCCATCGAAGCGGCCGTTGCAGATGAGGAGATTAAACATCAAAATTTGGCGCGAGGAGAGACGGGGGCAAGCAGGTCTGCCATAGAAGAACGTTTTATTGAGGTCAACCTTGAGTCAGGTGAGGAGTATTCATTTTCATCATTTACGCTTGTAGGCAATTTTCATCTACTTCCATTACCCCTGTGACTTTGATCTGTAATAGGGATTCCTGCTATTAATTGTAATGTCCTGCTTGCTTTTGTGTTAATTATTTTTTTTATTTTTACCAGATTTCCTCCTGCTTTAGCCACCGTATTATATTTTAGTAATCATTCACTCGAGGTTTAAACTACAGTCCACACTGAATGGGAATATCTTTTGGGGACAGGCTTAGTACAAATCAATGGTATCACGAGACCTATTCATATCATTCTGGGAAACTTCAACTGTCAGTCCTTCATCATCTTATGCGACATGGGGTGAATAGTTTGTATTCAAGATCTACAGTAGTATCTAAACCTACTCTCTAGTAATGTTGAAAGCGAATCCATCGATGTTAATAGTCATTTTGTCACTGGTTATAGAGATCACATTCGGTTTAAGCAACCCCACTTCGTATAATGTAGAGGGCTTCGCCGGGAGAGAGGTCTCAAGATTGATGGCAAATCACTCCAAAAGTGTATCGTATCTAAATCAAGCACACATTTATCTATTACAAAAAGTTCTCTAGTATATATATATCGACTGAAAAGGCCTGTCCCCTTGAAAGTCATATACTTCCAGTGAAATAGCACTGCTATTTTTGTCAGTATATTTGCCTGTGAATTCATACGTCGACGATTTTACTTTCTTTTGTAGCTACAGTTATATCCATGCGAAGTATAAATTGCAATCTACCTTATATGAGAAGACGTGTTGGTTACATGCTACAGTCTTCTCCGATGGCAACATTAAGCCGATG